CTTCTGTCATATTTTCTAACCTTTATGAAAATGATTACTGTTTTTCACATGAGTTCTCCTTTACCAGATTATATTGTACCTAGAATAAAAAGGCAAAAAGCAAACAAATTGTAAGAAGGTTTTCCTTTCGGCTACCTTTCTTCTTTATTAACCATTGGCCTGTGTAAAATTTTCAAGCCTACAACTAGGGACTCCAATAAAGTAAACAAACTAGTCTGGAAGTAGTGTCTGCATTATTTTCTCCAGCTACAAATCTTTATTTTAACTCCACTGAAATTGATAAGTACTATAGACATAGATTATTACAATTACCTTTTACAAATATTGTATCAAGTTATGTTTTTCAGCATTTAGTGTTGGCATACATTTGTTTTTGGTTAATTAATTTGGCGATGAATTGATTAACAGAATGGTTAGCCAAAGGTCAAAATAACTATATTAAATGGTGTGATGACCTAGCCCATCACTTAGAAAATCAACAATTCAAAGAGTAGGATTAAAAATGAAATTATTATCAAATTAATATATTAAACATTGAAATAAGATAAATTCATATGATAAAAGGTGAATTTCAGATGTGATAAGTGGAGGTCTAAAAGTTGAATAAAGGAAATAGTAATCTAAAATTACAAGAAAATTCAAAAGTAATGTCATTTGGAAGAAATGTATCAAGAGCGAGATTAAAATATTAATTGTACGACTTAAAAATTAAATGTAAATAAAGTAAAAAAAAGATTCATAAAGAACTTTCCGTCATAATTTAAAGAAATCTAAAAGCAACATAAATATCATAGTCTCAAATCAAAAAGAGCAATAATCAATTTCATAAAGTCTATCAAAACATCTAAAGAAAAGTTGCTTTTCTTCGTGAATCTGCTGTTAGGATTTAACAATTTTAATAATATTTTTGAAAGTTTGACAAAGTGTACCGACACTTGAATTTCTAACTGCGTTTTGATTTTTGAGATAACTTTAGAGAGCGCTGTGATCGCGACACATGGTAGGTGTATGTGTGTTGTGTTATTAACAGTAAAACTAACTTATGAGAAGTTAAGAGAAAATTATCGTCTTGCTCTTATTTTCAATTAATAACAAATACTTTTTGTTTACTTTTCGAGTGATAGGTGTATTATTACATTTGTTTTTACGTCTTTTCTTGATAAATTAATAGAGTACACAGTTTCTACAACTTACAAGACTATAACAAGTATAACTAACTTATAAGTATAAATTATAATTTACAAAGTAAAAACACAACAAAGTTTATTTATTACTACTGAATAATGAACTCGAAGTATTATATATCACTAGAATTCAGTAATGATAATTAATGTTGATAGTAAGAGGTACTGCATTTGACATTTAAATTTTTTTTGTCTAACAATTACATTCTGAGGCTGTTTTTTATCACTTGGACTGTTGGAGTTGGACACCGACTCTTGAGTGATTGCTAGACAACATTCGACCGTCATTAACATTAATAGCGACAGATGCTGTTCATAGACATAATGTAATAGTTTTAATGTTTTACTATTTTTAGCCATAGTGTGTCATAATTTTTATGTATCTACTAAAAAAAGAATCTTGCAAGCTTCATTAGTTCATATTCTATCACTGTCAGTGTGATATTTTTTTAGTCTTATTATTATAAATGTAGAAGAAATCTTAGGTTTCAAATATTCACATTTTCCTTTTCTAATTTTTTAAAGACAACCATTTTTTATCTGTTAGTTTCGTTCATTTTGTTTGTATAGTATTGGTAAAATGTCAGTTAACTACTGTTTGAAAGACGTAGCAAGTGTGACACAGTTGAAATTTGTTGAAATTAACAATCTGCATGGTGAACTGGTGATTAGCCTATATTTGGATTCACATAAAACCTGATATGTAGAAACATGTGTAAATAACAACAACATATTCACCTTGACCAGCCACCACCAGGCAGGATGTCTTACTTAAGCTTACTAAGTTCAACTTACTTGACAGTTTTCAACTACAACGTATGTGATATTGTGAAGTATTGAAGCATAATACCAGTTACTTGTTGTATGTCTTAAAGTAAAAAAGTTCCTGATAGTTAGGATATCCTGAAGACACTAAAGTTTTTAATTATTCAATAGAGTTTTTGGAAAAATGCCAAGAGCATCTACAGTTTTTAGTATCTTGGTAAGTGTACACAGTGTGATGTAAAATAGAAAATTTAAATTAAAAATTTCCATTCATACATATACTTATGACAGATTCTTTTTGTAGCATATTTGCAACTTGGTTAAAATTTTCTTTTATGAGAACTTTGGGGCAGTTATTGGGACCTGTCACTCTATCATGAATTCAGTATTTGTATAATATATTTACATGTAATTTAAAAACAAGGGACCTGTTGGTCTTATCTAGGCCATAACCATACAATAAACTAAACTTTAAAATAAAAAATAAGATACTCAAATCTAGCCATTATCATTCCAATATTTATCAAGCCTTCCCTTAAACTTCCTTAAATTAACTGCACCCACCACATCTGAAAGCAACCCATTCCAAAAGCCAACCACCCTGTTAGAAAAAGAGAACTGTCTTAGCTTGAGGTGACTCCTATCCTGCCAAAATGTATACTTGTGTCTCGTAGTCCTGCCATTCCCACCATTAAGTACAAAGAATAGGATTATGTAAAAACCTTAAACACCTCAATCACATTCTCATGAATTCTTCTTTTTTTCAAGAGAAAACAATTTCAGAGATCTTAACCTGTCTTTGTATGACAACCTTTCCATCCCAGGTATCATTGTAGTAGCCCTCCTCTGAACCCTTTCCAACAATTCAATCTCCTTCTTAAGGTAAGGCACCCAGGACTGAACACAATACTCCAAATGTATCCTAAAAAATGACCTATACAATGAAATTTATAGTCTTGTATCCAGTATTTCTGTAGATATAACTTAAAATTCTATTTGCCTTGCCACTAGCAACAGCATATTACTTGGAGGGCTTAAGAGACTGATCAACTAGAACACCAAGATTGTTTTCTTCCATAACACCATTAAGGTTATTCTCATCAAAATTTTACTCATAATTCAAGGTATGGTATCCCACATGCATTGCTTTTCATTCATTATTATTGAAGGCCATCTGCCATTTCTTTATCCAACTCACCAAATAATCCAAATCATTTTGCAAACAGCAACATCCTCTTCACAGCCAGCAACATCCTAAACCTTAATATCATCAGCAAATGTAAATAATTTACTGACAATTCCTTCATCTATGACATTGATATAAATCAAAAAGAGCAAAGGTCCTAATACTGAGCCCAGAGGTACACTAACTGTGGCATCAATCCAGTTTGACTGAAATTAATTTACAACAACGCTCTGCTTTTTTCCATCCAGCCAGTTTTCTATCCAGTGAGCCAACCTTTCCCCTATAACTACAGAGATATCTTTTTTAACAAGCCTTTTATGTGGCACCTTAAATGCTTTCTGAAAATCTTGATACAACAAATCCACTCTTGTACTATCATATACATAAGCAGTAACCTCTTCAGAGAATATCAAAAGATTAATAAGGCAAGATTTTCCCCTAGTGAAACAGTGGTGACTGTTCAACAGAATTTTAATTTTGTTAAAAGACTTTGCAAAGCACCTTTTATCAGACTTACAAAACTTTTCTTACCACTGATGCAACACTGATAGGCCTGTAATTCCTGGGACAATTCTTATCACCTCCCCTGAAAAGGGGAGTAACATTATTCAACTTTCTTCTGGCACCTGTCCACTATTCAAGGACTTAAAAAAAATAGTAGCAAGTGGCTCAAATATCCAAACCGTAACCTCCTTCAAGACCCTTGAGAAATATTATCTAGCCCAGGAGCTTTATCATTCTTCTCAATTTTTCTTTAAAAAGTACAGAATTAATGTGAAAATTTTGTTTCATCCTTTTTCCATCTAGCAACTGTTCAAGATGAGGAATATTACTTAAATCTTCATTAGTAAAAAAAATTAAAGAAAACATACAATTTAATAACCCAGCCATCTCATTATCATCAGATATGAGCCTTTCTTTATAATCTCTCAAAGCCCCTACTCCAATCCTAACATTGTACTTACCCTTAATATACATAAATAAATCCTTACTATGAATTTTTACATTTTCAGTCGACCTTTTTTTCATGTAGTTTTTGATTTTCTAATTTCCCATTTAACTAAGTATCTAGACCTTCTATAATTCATAGCAGTAAATTTAAACTTCTTAAATTTATAATGCCTTTTTAAGTTTTGATTTTTTCTCAAATGAATTCAGTTGCCTGTTCACAATAGAAGATTGTCTCATCCCTTTGAAATTTAGAACCAAAATCTCATTGTTTCTTATCTCCACATGTAGAAAAACATCAAACATAAATGAGTAATGATGTTCCCCAATTTCCACCCTATCAGTCATTTGTAACTTAGAAGTTAACAATAAATCTAAAATATCATTGTTCCTAATAACTTCCCTGAACAAATGGTGAAGAAAACCATCTTTAACAATTTCTAAGAACCTGTCTATCTCACAACTTTAACATTTCCCAATCTATATTCTGAAATAAAAATTTTCCATAATAATGAAATCAGTAATAGCTGAATCTTTATCTTACTGTAGAATTTCACATTAATTTCTTCAACTTTGTCTGGTGGTCTGTAACAAATTACAAGTAAAAGCCTCCTTCTCATGCAACTGCTAAAAAAGCCAAAAATAGATTCAACTTCATTGCTATTAGTTTTGATATTCTCAACTTGAACAGGATTTAACTCAGATTTTACATGTAAAGTTATCCAACTCCCTTTTTTAAATATTCTATCTCAATTAAACAGCCTATAACCCTGTATTTCAAAGAAATCCGTATTATCAAAATTGTTTACATTTAACCAAGTTTCAGTTATTCCTGTTATATCAAAATCCACTGTTCTGACTAGTGCTCTGAGGTCATATATTTTAATTCTTATACTTTTACCAGTACAATAATTAGTTTAGCCTATGATTAGAATTACTTGTGTACTTTGGTCCTTCACTATACTTTTCTCTACATCTTAATTTTTCTTTATTTAGTTTATTTTGGCCCTTATTATTATGTAGTCCTAATTTATAACTCCCTTACAAGCGAGTTGTTAGCTCTTACAAACAAGCCAACTTTTGCTCTATTTAAATGTGAACAATTCATTTGAAAAAGCTGCATTTTTCAATTAAACCAATCCTATACATCCAGCCAGCCAACCTGTTTGTTTTTACATATTAACATAAGCCTAACATTTAACCCTAGTATTCTATGTATAATTTCATTCAACAGTACCTATGACAGATTTAAATTATTATGGCCCTTTTTTGTAGATGTCTTTATCAATCCCTTGTACTTATCATTTAGCTCTTTTAACATACCCTTCCTCACATCATTAGCCCCTATGTGCACTACAAATACTGCATTCCAGCTAGTATGTTTAACTATATCATGTGATCTGTCAGCTACATCATCCACTCCTGCCCTTGAATATCATAATTTAATTCTTTTCTCCCTATTTACCTCAAAGAATATTTCATCCATGTGCTATACTAAAGAATCATAGTAACTATAACCCTTTTTTTCATTTGCATTCCTTTTGTTATCCTTTTCTCCTCTAGTGCATTTATGCAAGCTAAAAGCTGAAATCTATTACTTAACAGAGCTTGCTCATTACAATTAAATTCCCTATTTCATAACATAACATATAACATAATATTTTGGGACAACATGGGACCTATTGGTACATCTCTGCTGTTCCATCCTCAAAACTAAATTAAAATGAATAAAAAAAATTTTAAAACCAGCCCTTCTCATTCATATACTTATCAAGCTTTTTCTTAAACTCACATAAATTTACTGCCTCTACAACATC